CCCCAAAACCCCAAAACCCCAAAACCCCAAAACCCCAAAAAGGGGAGGGCTTGTTGGAAGAGCATGGATTTGGGGGTTGGATGGGCAGGTTTTGTGGGGAAAAGAAGGAATTTTAGGCCTTTTTGGGGGAGAGATGGTGAGCAAGGGAAGATGGGTGTTTGAATGTGTTTGTAGGGTTTTGAAGGGAGTTGTTGGTGGTCTAGGTGGCAGCCTGTTGGTTGTGGCAGAGTTTTTTGAAGTGAAATAGGGTTCAGAGGGCTCACTCTGGAGGTTACAGCCAATCTATATTCCTCGTCTTTAGATTTTGATAGTTCCAAGGGGAGAAAAATCTGTGATTTTTCTTTAAAGGCAAATCTCCAAAATTTTCAGGAACTAAGACATAGGTATCAATTTTTTTGTAGCAGAGGTCAATCTTTGTATATATTCCACCCTTATTTTCAGACATCTGAACTTCTATCTCTGGTTGGCCATGGAATATGCTAAATTTATGATGAAGCTATTGCACTTACATGGGAATAATGATGAGTATCCTTCAATCTGTTCATCTCCGCTCGCCATGGGATGCCACATCTAAAGCTTATACATACAGCATGAATCTTTCTGAATCAGGTCCTTCTTATGATTCCGGTTTCTTCCAGTCATCAAAGTAATAGAAAACCTTAACCTTCTCAGGACCTCTTCGAACTATAATAAAGACTCTGCTTACATTGACTAGGTTAGGAAACTAGAGGAAGAAAATCAATTATTGAGACATAAAGCTGTCCAACATTGCTACCTACCCAGGTTTGTCTCACAATGAATATTATAAGATGATCAACTCTTGGACCCTAACTTTGAACACCAACCAAATCTTGACCTTGGTAAAACTTGATATCTGCATAATTCAAATAGAAGTTTACTCCAATAGAAGCTTAAAAGATACATGTAAAGCAAATAGAGCTAAGGAATTTTGAATAATGGTTATAGCAACCAGATCGATCAAGAACAGCTCTCAATAATTTCTAAACAGAAGAAGACTGTTATGAATAATATCTTGCTCCTTAAATTCAAAGTGTTTGGCCCAAGCTACATCACAAAACTGAAGGAGATTTTAGGCTTTAAAAAGAAAGAAAATGAATAAGGATACATCACTACCACTTAAATCTCAGATTTTTTAAAATGGCAGACTGTCCAATCAAAACTTAAAATCCAGGCTTTATCGATGAATTTTAAAACTTTGGACTGATAAGATATGGGGAGGATAACCATCCTGGCTTCTATACGAAAATTCTGATGGCTAGTCTTCATCCTTCATGGCCTCTTTGGCTTTGATGTAGTTTTGAAATACTTGAAGGAGGTCTGAAGATAACCTCCATTAAAGATTTTTTATATTTTATGGCAATATTTATGCAAAATTAGCTTTCAATTCTCTCTTTATAAACTGGGGTTTTGGGGTTTTGGGGTTTTGGGGTTTTGGGG